AAAAAAGCAGTTTCAATTTAAAAAAATAATTACAACAAAAAAAATTGTTTTATCAACAAAACAAAAAAGGCCATTTCAATTTTAAAAAACTATCTAAACGTATTTTTGCAAAGCAGAAACTTTTGGTTGAATCTCTAACTTTTGGTTGACACTTTAAGTTTTTGGTTGACTGTCTAAGATTTTGGTTGACTAAGTTTTTAGTTGAACTCAAAAAAGATTTGAACTCAGAAATCACAAACTAGGGTAGTAGCGCAGGGAGTAGAGAAGCCAAGCTTTTGATCGAAAGGTAGCCAGTTCAACTCCAGGTTGGTCTCCATGTTGCACGTGTGTGCACATGTGTGATAGGTTAAATGCAGAGACTTAAAAGAGACCTGTTATGCAAAATTCACTTTTTAAAGTTTTTTTACTCAACTTTGGCTAATAGGCTTTAAGAAGGCTTTAATAAGCTAAACATTAGAAGTACATGAAAAACATTTACATAACAAACAAAAATAAAAAATTAAATTCTTTGTGTCCATGTCGGTCTCAATCCCTAGTCTCCCACCCTCTGATCCAACACTCTACCCACTGTTCTATAGGAGGCTTGTTATAAAATGAGCTGCACATTACACAACAACACAGTGATGTCTTTTTATATGGAGAAGGAGGAGCTTCACCTGGGGTTTCCTAGGTAAGGGGCTGAACGCAGGTTCTGGTGGGTTGTCGTACGGCTTGTGACATCACAAAATGTAGGAAGTATAAAACTTGTCATTAATATACATTAAAATACATTTATTTACAGTAAACATGCCCTTGGGTGCATTTTTTGGTCCTAGGACTGTTTTCTTAAGAAGTGCACACCCAAAATTGAGTAAAAAAACTTTTAAAATGTGAATTTTGCAAAATAGGTCCCCTTTAAGTCTCTGCATTTAACCTATCACACATGTGAACACACGTGCAACATGCAGACCAACCTGGAGTTGAACTGGCTACCTTCTGATCACAAGCTTGGCTTCTCTACTCCCTACGCCACTACCCTAGTTTAAATATTTTTTGATTGAAATAGCTTTTTTTGTGTGGTTGACAAAACACTTTTGGTTGAAAAATATTTTTTTAATTGAAACTGCTTTTTTAGTTTGGTTGAAATTATTTTTTTTGGTTGAATTTATTTTTTGTTTGGTTGAAAAAATATTTTTGATTGAAATTATTTTTTTGATTGAAGATGCTTTTGGTTTGATTGAATAATAAAAACACAAATTTACCTCCATACTGGTATAGATGTAAAAAAAAAAAGTTGAAAAGCATTTTTAGCAAATGTTTCAAAACAAATTTATAAAAATAACAGGAATGGCACCATAAAGCTTTGAAAGCAGAAATTAGATGTTTGAGCTCTCATCTGATAAAAGTAATACCGCTTGAGTTAAAAATATCTATATAAAAATTCAGCTTTTTGTAATTATATAAAATAGGATCACTTCATCTCATTTGTTGTGCAGATATAAAAGGAAAACATATTTATGGTTGAAAAATATTTGGTAAATTTTAATTGGAAAGAAATGGGTTAGTTCTAACCTGCATTTACTGGTAGTGTTCTGGCAGGCTGGGGTCTGGAGTTATACATGGAGACCATTTTTCACCACATGGAATCTTCCAGAAATTAGCAGCTCTGATGTCACCATTGTTGCACAGGCAGGTAGTTTCACCACAGCTCCCTGGTCACAGCAGTGTGCATTTGGTTTGTGGAACCATGGTAAAGCGTCTCCAGCTGATCTTCTCAGAGCGCAGCTGTACACCTGCAGATTGGACTTCTAATCACTACAGATTATTTCCTCAGCAGCACGCCTGGACTGGCCATCAGGCACAGCGCGGACTTCCCCAGTGGGCCGGTAGTGATTTTGGGCCTGGCCGTTTTTTTTTTATTATTGTTTTGATTTTCTCTTAAAGTTATGCTTATCGGTACACACAACTGGTAGATTGGCCCATTAGTCATGATTGATTCTGGGCTGGACAAATTACAGCAGCCTAGGGCTGAGGCCTCCTCCCTCATGGATCGCAGCTGTCAATCAATCAGTCACACAGACAAGGAGAATGGAGAACAACGCGTGGCAAAACACGCAAAGTAGGCACCAATAAAAGAAAGCTCAAAAAATGTTATTTAGTGGTTGTAAATTGCAAACATTAAATAATGTCTCGTTTCTCTCCTGAATCATTTGCAGAAGGAGAGAGACAGGCAGAGACACAGCATCAGCTGTGTCCCAAAGCGCAGCAGCGAGGTTCGCAGGACTCCTGCTGCCTCCACTATGTCAAAGAAATAAATATAAAAACAGCGCAAAGAATGAATTTGATTCATGCATGTGACACATTTATGTTAAACAAATGAAAAGGCAGCAAAGACTGGGAAATTGGTCAGTGAAAGGTGATTGTCATCAAATTTCACAAATGCTTTTTTTTTTCAATTTTTCCAAAAAAGTTTATGGATGCAGATAACAGCTCAGTCAGAACCTGTAGAGGTTCTGCTCCTCCCAGACTTGTGGGCGGTAATGGTTTTGTAATTTAGTATTCTTTTTTTTCATTAGGCTATGATAAAAGTCTAAAATGTTAAACGTGTTTTAACCAATGCTTTTTTCTGATAAGCCCTCTGATAAAACCCCTCAAAACTAAGTAAAACATGTCTAAAAGGGTAGAAAACACCTCAGTACCACCATTAACTGGGTAATGGGGCCTGGAATGGACAAAAAACCCTCAAAATCTCCAACAATCATCATAAACCAGGTTAAAGAGTCCTAGGAGAGCCCCTAACCCTCCCAAACCATAGGATGGACAAATCCTTCCAATCCTAGACTATGGTGATGTGGTTTACAGGTCTGTCTCTAAAACACTTCTTCACAAACTGGACTTTAGTCATCATGCTGCTATCCGATTTGTCACTGGTGCTTCATTTAAAACACACATTATGATCTGCACTCCCTGATAAACTGGCCATCTCTTCATTCTCGCAGATCTATTCACTGGTTCATGTTCATTTACAAAACCCTCATTGGAAAAATGCCAGGTTACCTACATGCACTTCTCACTGTTCACAAACCAAATCATAGTCTATGTTCTAGTGACCTCATCAATCTCATACCAAAAGCACGTACCACCTTTGGTCGCTCCTCATTTCAGTTTTCTGCTGCAGATGACTGGAACCATCTGCAACAAACCTTAAAACTGGACTCATTCATTTCTTTATCCTCATTTAAAAGTTCGATACACTTAATAGTAAAAGATCACTGTACTTGGTTTTAGTTTCCTTTTTTATTTTATTTTGTTTTTTTTTTCCTGGTTTATCATGTTATAGTATGTTTAATTTTACTCAATGCTGTCTGTGCCATGTCTTTGTTTTAACATTGTTCTGACGTTTTGTGTTGTACTGCTGCCTCTTGACCAGGTCGTCATTGTAAATGAGAATTGATTCTCAACTGACTTCCCTGTTAAAATAAAATAAAGGTAACCAGGTAAAAGAGACCTAGGAGGACTGAAAACCACTCAAAATATCCAAAAGCCACCAAAAACCAGGTAAAGAGAACCAAAAACCCCTCAAAACCTCCAAAACTCACCAAACACCAGGTGAAAGGGGTCTAGGAGGGCCTAAAAGCTCTCAAACCCACACAAATTCAAAATGGCCAACATCTCATTTTCCATCATCACTTATCCTGAGTCCTCCTGGTTTCAAGAGCAGTGCTGCCTGAAGACACTCAAAATTTGGTGCAGATTTGTTGATGTATTAGTGAGCTATAATTGTTGATCTATTCTAGGGGGCACTGTTGAGTCAAATTCCACTGAAATCCTGTACGCCTCCTTAGAGGTTAACAAAGGTCAAACATTTCCTGTTTGGAGCAATTTGGATCATGTATGTGTGATTTAGAGTCAAAGGTATGCAAACAACAAGGCATAGCATTCGTCACTCAGTCATGCTCACACAATTCAGCCAACAGTGTTGAGATAAGCATGCAACATCAACTGGTCACAAAGCACAGGTAGAAATCTATATGAGTCACAGTGTAAAAGGAAAACATCCAGCAGGAGGCGGGGCTAAGGTGATGTCACCAAATGACCATGTGAGTGTGATGAATGCTGGTCTGGTATGGCACACAGAAAGGATCATTCAGATTTGACCTTGTAAGTGGAGGCTATTTATCCTTGATGTTTTATGGCAAATGGGCAGTTTCTGAGGCTTGGCCATGCTCGCATGCTTTGTTGCAGCAAAAATATTTTGATATTGTTTGATCTCCAATGCCTTAGGCCTGTGCTGAGTGATTGTTAAATCTGTAAGTTAAAAGCTGTAAGAGGAGTTTCAGATACCTGAAAAAAAGACAAATTGGCAGCTTTGATCCAAGATGGCCGAATTCCTGTGGGGCTCAGAAGTAATAGGAATTATAACTGCTCCGTTAGTGACCACAGCTCAGATCTAGTAGCTGAAGCCTGTGCCTGCTGGTGATTGGTTGAAGCAGGAACCTTGGCCTGCTGGTGAATGGGCTTTTCTAGTGGATTTAGATAATCCCTAAATCTATTTAGTTCACTAATTAGGTTTGGTTCGTTTCAAATGTAAAAAGGAACAGCCTGAATGTACACTGACCTTGTAATATAATGTGTTGTATATCCCATTTGTGTTGCAGTTTAACAAAAAAATTAAAATCACAGAAAAGATTCAGTCAAGTAACCTCAGTCAAATCTACTGGGTCTCTGTCATCCAGAACAGAGTAACAACTTTTTCAAAATAAACCTTTATTTTAATAAGTAAGTCAGTTGGGAAACAATCCTCATTTATAATGACGACATGATCGAGGCAGTAAGACAACACAGACAACTTAGTCTTTATAACATGTACCTCTATTAAATTAACATTCAGTATTCAAATTAGATTTGTGACATTCCATAATTTAATCTAAAGGTTGCAGCTTGACTGATGCACAGTGTGTTTCTGTGATTGATCTGTGGATGCTCAGGTCGTACTTTGTTGGAAAAGCTGTTCCTGCAGCAGCAGCAAGAGGAACCAGAGGAGGCTGAAAGGCTCTGTTCCAAGATCTTGGCCATGGGTCTCCTGCTGCCTTTTGCAGAGTGTTTCAAAGAGCAGCTAGGAGGCAGCACAGCACACAACACCTCTGCTACTCCAACCAAGTTTGAGGTATGTCACCTTATTATGACCCCCACACACAAAGCGTAAGCGGGAGCCATATTGTTTTCATAGTTTATTTATTCTCTTTTTTTCAGTGATTTTTGATCAACCGTAGCACAAAAACGGCTGCACCAATCAACATGAAATTTGGCAGGACTGTAGATGAGTCCGACCTACACTGTGCCAGCCAACAGTTTTACAATAGACTCCATATTTGAGGAGGGGCTCCTTTCAAAGAGGGGGTGTCTGGACATGCAAAAATGCTTATAACTCAGAAACTGTTAAACATAGGAGCTTCAGATTTCTTTTGTTTATCTCCAATGAAGCTCTATCCATCAGGCCCACCAATCAGTGCCCCACCACCCCGGACCCCCAATTTATCTGAAAAAGGGGTATCTGGACATACAAAAATGTTTATCACTCAAAAACTGTTAAACATAGGAGCTTCAAATTTTCGTTGGTTGTTTTGCTCTGATGAGGGGCTATCCATCAGGTCAACCAATGCGGCCCCCCCCCCACAAAACAGTGCCCCCCCCAAGCCACTATGATTTTGGGATGCACCTAGTAGCATGACATTTATTAGGAATAAAACCTTCTGAGTTCTGGTGCTTTTCTGCATGCGGGGGTCATTATGTTACCGCTATGCGGTGTCTAGTTTCCATTTGTTTTGTTGTGACACTCATATTTAAAATCTAAACCACAAAAAGTAAAGAAATTTGTGTTTGGTAGGTTATTTCTTTGTTGCAACATTGCTGATCTGGATAGGGAAACTTCAAGCTTGCGTTCTGCAAAACCAAGCTTTAACATTAATTGGCATGATTCTTAGTGTCATCTCACAGCATGAAAGCTCAGTGGTTAGCACCAATGCCTCACAGCAAGAAGGTCCTGGTTCGACCTCCAGTTCAGACCTGGGGTCTTTCTGTGTGGAGGTTACATGTTCTTCTTGTGCTTGCGTGTGTTTTCTCTGGGTACTCCAGTTTTCCCACCCACAGAAACATGGACAAATAGGATATCTTCAGGCCCAGGCCTCTCTTGAAAAAGAGAACTATGATCTCAGTGGGATTTGCCTGGTTAAACAACGGCAAATAAATGTCCAAACTGAAGGCCAGTTTCCATTTATAAGATTTTTTGCCATGAAGCTGTGTTACAACAAAGAAAAAAAAATATACCAAACATAAATTTCCTTACCTTTTGTAGTGTTTATTTGTATGGAATTCTTTTTTCATGCTCATGCATTGTCATTTTTTTATTAGGCTGATATTAATTTCCATCTTTTAGAGTGTCCTTAGATTGTGGTATTTAGATTAATTTATTTATTTGTTTCATTTAAAAACAAAAATTCTATATACAAGAAAAAAATACAAATCACAAGTAAAATGAAATTAGAAAAAAATATATATCTGCCCCTATTTTCCAAAAATTAATTTCAAGTAGTAATATTGTTTAAGTAAAACAAAACAAAAACTTCAACTCCTTCACGAACAACAGCTCTTATTTCCCGATGCGTCACAGTAACCCAAGTAGAAAAATCAAAAGAAAACATAAGTAGGTCCTCTGGACAGGTTCTTCTTTAAAAGAGATATATCATGCTAAATGCACTTTTTTGCATTTATAAACCATTTTTTGTGCAATTATAGTGTCTAGGAGTGTAGAAAACTTTAATTTATTCTGTCCAGTTACTGCAAAGATATTTTTATATTTTTTATGGGTCAAATTTTTCAGTTTGTTCAAAATCTGCTGTTGCTTATTTCGTTTCATTGTTTATTTCGTCACACATTTTTCTTCGGAACTACCATTTATGGTAATGTATTTCCGGCCAACTGGATTTCATAGTCCGCCATTTTTTTCCTTGCTTTGAGATTTTGTAGTTCATAGCATCATGCCGAATATGCAAGTTCAGAAGTCAAAATGTTCGGATCTGGGGTGTGTAAACCCACATTATTATTTACACAGACTACCAGCGTCAGAGCTTCTTCAAAGTGTCTGGTTAAGTTTTATTTCTCAAGGAAATGGACCCACAACAGGGCGGAAAGTGCTTGCGGACAACACAGGATGAATGTTACAAAAATAAGGGTGAGTCATGAACTGTAAATGTGTTTTAACTGTCTAATTTAGCTGTTTCTACCCTCTGTGTCGGAATATGAGGGGAGAAAGAACAGCTGTGTTTAAGTTTCTTTACSYAACGGGTGCTCAGCACCATGTTTTACTTTCACTTTCGCTCCGCACTGTAATCAGTGTGTCCGTGTTGTTTTTCTTTTTAAAAATGCCGGAGCGTTTCAAACTGTAATCTAAAGTTAACGTCAGTTGTTTTAAATGCATTTTTGCCTGGTGTTAAAAACGGGAGCAGCAGAATGAGGCAGAGAAGCTGTGAGCGCTGTGTGTGTGTGTGTGTGAAGTCCTCATAAGGGTAGCAAGATGGATGTGTGTCTCCTATTTTTCTCTGTGTTGCAGTTGTTGCATCAAAAAAGCTGGGAACATAGTCATTTTATGTAACAAAATATATTAATCTTATTAATGTACAAATAAAAACAGAATATTTAGCATTAGATAAAATAAGAAATTAATTAATTTATTTTAATTTTTTAAGAAAGGGCTGAAAGAAGAAATCCT